ATCAGCAGTCAGCTGATCAATCGCTAATGAATGCATCCGAGCTGCGAATGCCTGAGCACATTGCCAATAATCGGTTTGGATATACAGGAGGAAAACTTGACTAGACAACGCGACAATCAACATCTTGCCTTATTTCAGAGGTCCGGACAGCATTCGTATGTTTATTTGTGAGAACCACACACACACACGTCTTGTTGAATAACAGCTATAAACAAGCCACTTTTGTTGACCATGTTTGGCCAATGTAGTGCAAATTTGGCCAGCAGTTTCGTCCAGTTTTCATTTCCGTTCTACCCATTTTAACCTTGAAAGTCTTATCAAAGCCTATTCTGGGTAAACAAACTTCGTAAACAAGCCTCGTCAACAAACTTATACTGAAGGGGGGGGGGGGTACGCATAAACGTATGTACTTCGCTGGCCGAACAGGTGCGATTGAAGCGAATGGGTCTGGAATTGCCCGGTTTGTTTATGCCTACTCACTCAAAAGGAAACACATAAGGGGGAAGATCTACGAACCATTTGTACTGGGCAAAAGTGTACGGGGAAAATTATGGTAGTACAGTTGCGACAACCTGGACGCAACTCGTATGGTCATTTTGATAAGATAGGAAATCATTTAGTTGTGGCACCCTTTCGGTGCCCAGTTTCCATGCCACCAGAAGAAAGCACGAGGGCTGGGAAACTGCTAGGTTGCTCAAGCCTAGACAGGGGAAGTCGAGAGGCAGAGCTCAGGTTCGAACCACGGACCTTCCAGTCAGTAAATTCGCGCTCTAACCACTGACCCATCTCTTGATAACATAGGACAACATGATGACTGATCACAGGTATCCAAGCCATATCGAAGATACTGACCAACCCATTCAAGTTTGCCAACTGTTTGCAACCATCCATCGAACCCCTGAAAAAGGCTAGTCGGTTTCGGTCAGTTACTCTGGGGTTGATGCCATCCTTGGGAGACCTGTTGGCATCACAACTCTCTTGTTTCCTTCTAGAGGCATTATAGCCATCAGATCGGGGGGATTGTCCTCAGTTTCATTTTATGACTTTTCCACCAGGATTTGTGGAGTTTCAGTAGTGCAATTTTTTGCCTAAATTTTGACTTATTCATGTGCGCAAGAAGGTGGAAGTTTTATAAGCTTTAGCTTAAGAAATTTGGTCGATTTATCTCCCCTACTTTGAATTTCGCGTTGTACAGAGGATCGGGTGGAAGGTGTAAATCAATCAAGACCTCAGGTCAAGTCAAGCGAGAAGATGCTTTGTGCCTCCTTGTAAGGATTGAGCCTTCAGTACATTCGATAGATAGAAAAAGTAAGATTTGAAGAGGGAAAGGCGGGTAAACGAGAGTATCGTGCAAAGAATACTTCTCAGCAGATATAGACCGATAGAAGCATTTTCTTGGGTATTTCATGTGTAAATTCTTCAAGGACACAGCACTTGATATGGGACTGTCAACAACGAAAAGACTTTTCGAACAAAAAGTGTGAGTAACCGGAAGCTTCTGAGGTCTCACTTTGCCCCTCTGCCCCCCAAAATGCAACGATGCGTTGCTGTGCACCAAACTGCCTTTGTTTGGGAGAACGGCATGTTTCTTACACAAAAGATACGGATACCACCGAGAGTTATTTTACAATTTCTATAGAGAATCATTCATGGAAGCGCAAACCATCAGATTCAAATTAGGTCGTACTTCACTGGTTCAATCTCAACCGCCCACACTGGTGGTCAGTTCAGATCGATAAATTTGAAGCTTTAATCACAGCCAGGTTTGTTAGTCCCGTCGTTCTAGACTTGCTTATTGACCGAGTCAGAGAAACAGAATGTATGAGCAAAAATAAATCACAATATCCTGTTTTAATTACCATCCACAATATGGCATCCGGATTAGACTGAATGGGAACAAAAATAACCTGGCCGTGGTTATCTAAAATCTAACAATCATCTAATAATTCTCGTTATTGACAGGCATGTTCTTTGGGCAGATCACGTAGTAATCCGAAGGAGGCTTCTCCGCTGTTTGGTGCTAGTTCCGAACGAACGGAATTCGACTGTTCTTCGAAGCCATCGTTAGTTTTTCTCATCCACAAGTAACTGGTGTCGTTTTGCTGTTTGGGAGGGTATAAATAGCCTGATGTTCCGCTGTATTTAAACGCAATAAGTGATATCGGCACTTTTTTCCCATTCATTAGAAACTACTATTGTTGCGCATTGAGGTGATCAGTTGTCGCCTCTATCCTGTAGGCAGTGGTGGTTCGGGCATTGAAGGAGTGAAACAACGAAAATTGACCCCTAGGATTTGGGCCAGTGAAGACAGATTTTCAAGTATTCGTTGTATCATCCATTATGTTGACAATTGAAATTCCCCACGTTTATTCTATCCCCATTTGTAACCCCCACCCCACTTTTAAGTTTGGTGAGTGTATATGAACTGACGTCTGTTTATCCTTACCAGTTCATCCAATTGGCCTTGAGGTCACCCGGCCATTTGTAGCCGACCTTGTGCATGTGTGACTGTCGCACGTGGGAGCCTGTTTGCTACTTTCGTTCGTACTTTTGTAATTCAAGTGGACCATTTATTTTGGACGAGTATCTACTGTCGAGGTTTGTATAATTTGCGAATTTGTCTTACACTAATAGTAGTGTATAGAAACCCAGCTCCGGCTTTCTTTTGCCTTCCCGGAGGTTCTGGTATTACTCGAAGATACCGTTCGTCTGTTACACGGATAACAAAATTATGGATAATGTATTGAAGGACATTACTGCGATCCAATATGGATAATGCGAGTGTTAAGCTGCCAAATAAACAAGAGCCCAGAAGCGATCACAAAGTCTGTTACGATCTACCATATTACTGATATTATATGAGTAACTTGTTTGGAAAGATAAGGAATGCGACTAAAGATAATCTCATGACTGGAGGTTTTTGAACAGAAATACATCGCCCTCACTGCCATATCAGCAAAGACATGCCTTGAATTCTTCTCACATCCGTAAGTGGCGCCCTCAAAACTGTCACACGATAAACCACTGAAAACCCCTGAAGGACGAACGTGTAAAACTGAAGAGCCATGGGTCAAAATTAGCGCGTTTCTCTTCTCTTTGGGTAGAACGTAATTCTAACTTCAAACAGGACTGAAAGAGCAACAAGTTTTCTTGATTTTTTGACGAAACCTACATATTCAAGCTTCACTAAAAATCCCCCACACTTGGGAAAATTGTGCCTTATCGTCCGGTTGTGACAGTCTGTAATCTACGAGCAGGCTAAAAGTGTCCAATCAGATCTCACTAGAGGTATTCGCAGTTCTCATCGTGGTGCTCCGAAAGATTGGCACATATTAACACAAACTGACAACATTCAACTCACTCCGAGAAATGTGTGCTGATTGTGCAGTTTCTTTTGACATTTCAGCGCCGCGCTCCTCGTGCAGTAGGTTAGGAAAGCACAACCTGAATGAAACGAGAAAACGAGACATTAATGTAGGGAACACGGTTACCCATTGGATTAGGACAAAATAATAGCTCGGTGACAGACAAGCAGCTTGTACTCGAAGTAGGTCCATTAGATGTTTACTTAGAACTTGTCACCCGTTGCATTCAACGAAATATGCATTCACAATATACATAAGGATATGAGATAGACATCCGCCTTTACTACCGTTCACCAGTGCGTTGAGAAGGTAAGGAAGCAAAAATGTACACCATAAAGTTGGGCCGGCTGGATTGATTTAGAAGTTGATCTTTTTGGGGTACTTGGCGGTTAGTTAACAATAGTGGGAACAACCATGAGCCACTTGGTTTACAACCAATCAGAACACCCGATCGACCAATAGTTCGATATATTTTCCTACATTGCTGGCTTTGCGAATGACAACCCTGAGAGCTGATCATGTGTGGACTGGTTTAATAGGCATACGGTTTTGACACAAGAGGCTTGATGAATGGATTCAGGCACGAACCTCCTCAATGTTTCATAGCAATCTTTAGCAATCGTCAGTGGCGATTCGGTCTTGTAAGGGAAGTTAGTCAATGGTATAAAGTCCAGAAGCGCCGTACAGCTGTTTCATGCTTGTTGGAGATCATCAGCAGTTCAAGTCTCACGAAAATCCAGGAGGTTTCAAAGCCGCGACCTATATGGTTAGTAATTTGAACACTTGACCGTTTTACCAACAGCGACTAAACAACAGTGGGATTAGCTTGTACTTAGATGGGACATTGCTTCACTCATCCCCAAATCACGGGGTCCGCCTGACGTAGTCACACGTGATGACTGACTAATCGAGTGATGACCACGTGACGCCTTATTCTGTCTAACTGCGCGTAAATCACGCGGCTGATCAGCCGCCCGTGGTCGATTGGTTGTGTTCAAACTACTAACCGGAGGTCGTGAGTTCGAAACTCCCTGAAGTTTCGTCAGAAGAGAGTGATGATGGTGTTCAAACTACTAACCGGAGGTCGTGAGTTCGAAACTCCCTGAAGTTTCGTCAGAAGAGCAGTGATGATGACTCCTAGGGATGGAAGAGGTGTACAGTGCTTCTAGTCTTTTCAGCGCAGAATTCCTTCGCTTATCGGATGAAATCTCTACTGAAAGTTCCCCACACACAACCTCACACCTCCTTACATAACCGGCGGCTGATTTAAATTCTCCAAATGCATTGTAACCAACTGGTGAGCCCCAAGAAGAGAGAAGCGGTCGTGGACTCTAGAAGAGCTTTCAGCAACCTTGTGAGTAGTTTCCTCTATGAAAACTAACTATGTACTTATTGACTGATAGGATTTTCGTGGACCGGTACTCACTTGAAGGGAAACATCAAAGCGGATGCCTACGATGACCACCTGAATCAGCAGTCGCCAACCTGAATGTGTGACAAGAGAATTTCGCCCAGGAACCAACGTTACTAACCAGTTGTAGACCAGGGAAACATTCGGACAAGACCAGAGTTATCGTGAATACGATAACCGATATAAGTTATTTTAGGCTAATTTTTGCTTGATTTATGCTTCAGTTATACTCTGAAATGAAAGTCCTCAATAAAACATCTGCGTTTATCGGACAGTTTGGGCAGCTAGAGGGTATGCCACAAATGTATGTGAAAAGACGACTGAAAAACCTTCGATTTCAGTTTTAGTTGATCAAATTGGTTGGCAACTACTTTGATAAAAACGGTAGGATACAGGGAGATTTGATGGCAGATTTCCTTAAGGTCGTTTCAAGAAGACAAGTTTGTCCACACGTGGAGCACTACTCATAAGGTTGCTGGGAGCTTTTCGATAGCTTACGAACGGCTTTGCTCTTCTTGGGGCTCATCAGGTAATAGGGCCATCAGAGACGAGAGATTTAGCTGGGTTGTCAAAACCAAATTCGTGTGCAAATTAGGGTATCTGTCAAAAACAAATTTATCTTGCAATGGATTATGCAATGATGCTGTTAATGGTGGTATCGATGGTGCTGCGTGGCCATCGTTTTGTTCTAACGTTCATTTTACTTGAAAATACAAATGAGCAATTCGCTTGCCGTTTTGGACCAAAAATAAAACTCCGAGCTCAATTTCCAACCCCCAATGGGGGTCATTGGCTTATGCGGATAAACAGTCCGTTCAGTCACACTGTCTGATTAAGCCAGTAGCTGCCTTGAACGTCATTCTCACTGAGTATAACTCAGTGCGAATACAACTCATTACCTGTGAGGTTACTGGGACCTCTTCAACAGCCCACTACCGGTTTCATCCTTATTGGGGCCCACTGACCTTATTTAAATAAACAAATTGTACTCAACTGGCGAAAAACACCGATTTACAAATCATTACACTTTCAACGGGAGACTCAAGTAAAGGATGTCCTAGATGAGAGATACAGTCCAACACCCCGCTGATGTGCAAATTAGCGCAAATTTCCCAGTGCTACAAGTCAGTGCTCGGTTTTGAATATATATCACAAATTTGTTCGGCAGCCCACGGATGACTTCATTCCTCTTGGGGTCCACCAAGTAGGTACAATCCTATGGAGGTCACGGGACTGAAATTCTCTAAAGTTTTGTCAGAAATACACTGTTGGTGGCCCTAAATAAGAACGAAGCAACTGTACAGTGTTTATTGGCCTTTCAGCATAGATTGGCTTCACCTGAAGCCTCCAATGAAATTCCCAAATCTCCTCATACTACCAACAATCAATATGTAGCTCAGAGTAAGGGTAAAATTCATCCGATAAGTTGAACTTTTTTTAAGAAACACTCGAGAGGCCAGGTAACACGTGTGACCTGTGGCTGAAAAATGCGTGGTACCATGTCCTGTCTGAATGCGCGGAAATCATACCGTAAGTCATCTAATCGATTTTCTACCATTTGGATAAGTCGCCTGTGGAGACCGACAGAAACTTACCTCTTCTGTAGGATGATCAGGGCGTCATAACCGCTGCAATGTTCTACGAAGGACCTTTTCGAGAGGAAGGCGCTCCTGCAGAGGGGTGTTCGAAGGGGGAAAACTCTAGCAGTCCGTCTATGAAGGGGTGTCTGCGCACCATCTGACAGGTGTTTTACCACGCTCCGGAGCTAGGCTCCAGTTTCAATTTTTCCGTCTAGGAGACTCATCTTTGGAAATGACTGGCTCACTTCTACTTGTCCTAACAAAGTATATCAGTGGTAGGTTTCCTCCCAAAATATGTTTCATTGACCGGTCACTTCTATCCAGAGGAGACAAATGCAGAAAACTTGGCGCGTTGTCATTAAATGCTAGAGACAGTTGGTCACGTCCAAATCAATTCTGATTTATTTCTTGCAGCACTATCTTATTTCACGCTTTTTCTCTTATACTCGGACCCGGGTACTCAACTGACAAAAACAGGTGGGTGGTATTCTGTTTTCCCTGGAGAACAAAATTTTCAAAATATGGCCACAAACAAGTCAACCATGGATTTGATGGGGCTATGAATTCTAAACAAGTTACAAACACACGGTGTTGGCCATATACTTCAGTGGCGTAGAGCCAGCCGGTTTGTTTGCGTTGCTCTGCAGAGACCACCACCAGAGAGGGGAAATTCTGGTTGATTCTACAACGCGAATTTTTTCAATAAACTCGCGCCCCCAAAGAAAAACGGCACTTTAGAACTCCATCAAGGTCATTTGCCTAGAAGTCATTTGGACAGCGTTGTCTGTCAAAAGAAATTGAAAGTGATCGCTTTTTTTCAGGTTTTATCAAGAAGTCCCTCCGAAGAAGAAAAGGTACAAACATGTTGTCCTTTCTTCAGGATCCAGTCTCTTCTAGAGAGGACTCGACGTTAAACAAGCGGTTCTGGGGATAAGCCACAGGTAGCCTTCTCTGGAGGGTCATATCTTTGGAGGAAATAACCGTACCGTCTGGACGAAAATAGTGTTGTGGAGCCTTAAATCGTTCGGGAAGAATCTCCTTTTCAGACATTAAGTCAATTACCTGACTGGTATCAGGATGAAAGAAGGCCTAAAACCCAGTGTGTTTTACGGTAGACAATCTTGTGGGGAAAAGTTTAGAGTGGTTTTCTTGCGGAGTTTGGGGGCGGTCTTTCAAAAGGTAGCAATTTGGAGTCAAATCCCGCGGGAGTGAATTTAAGGTCGTCTTAGTTGGGATTGCTGTTCTTTTTTGACAGAAAACTAGTTGGAGATCAACTTACTTTTTTATCATTCATTTGTGGTTTCCGATGGTCCGTTGAAAAGCTTCTTTTCATTACCTGGCTTCGTTGCCCGTGACAACAGCCACGTCACTTCTTTTTATCAAAACCTTCAACAGGAATCACAGCGCTTATGATTTTCATGATTTGTTTAACCATCTGCGTTCAAACAGCAGTGAAGATCCCCTAAACGTGCAAGAGGATTGTCAGCCCCTCCTTTGTCCTCAACAGCTGTCCCCCTTCAAACTTTCGTAGTCCAGGATATGCTCGATCTAATCACTTGCTGGTATTTCCTAACACACTATCGAACTGAGTCACTTAACTCAGTTTTTTATGATAATTCATTATTGTTATCATTAGTTTGAGAAGACTATCTAGTTATTTAAAAACACTCAGCTGACCGGAAACTCAACGGAATCTAGCTAAATCTCCCGCTTATGGGAGATTTGTCCGGACTCAGTTGAGCTTCTTGTCAAAACCAAATTAGTGTGTGAAGGATAGTATTTATCGAAATTTCGTTTCTAGTAGAACATAAGTCGTCGGAAACTCGGGAGTTCGCCTACCTGATGAGCCCCACCAAGTGCGAAACCGGTCATGGGCTGCGCTATGAGTAGTGTGTAACGTCAATCCGTATTTTCCTTTAGTGACGCATGGTCGGGCTGATTCGAATCGCTATCCAGCAAACTCGGCTGAAAAAATTCATCTTAAACGATCTCGAATAAGTTGTCCTTGATCTCTCCGGAAATATATTAACCGTGCTGTGAATTCCGGAAGCCTCCTGTGGATTTGCATTTAAACAGTCTTTTTAAACTACGAAGCATTTATTCGTCAAAAAGAACTATTTTTTAATGTTATTGATTGTTATTTTGACTAACAACCTCTACTGACATTCTCACACGATTTTGCCACAAAGCTGCTTAGGAAGGCATCTATCGGGCTTCGTTAATGCGAGATTTATTTGCCGCCAAGACGAACGAAGTAATTGTTTCGGTTTGAAAAAAAGTACAGTGCAAGGCTACCAAGACAAATGGTGTCAGATCAGAGTACATTACACAAAACGAGCGTCACATGACGACAAGTGAAATATGAGCGCAACGAAAACAAGTAACGCTCGCTAAGGTCACTTGCGATTAGATTTTTATAGTTCATGCAATAGCTTCCGTTCATCAATTAACAATTTAGTATTACACAAGACAAAGTGGTTTGTTTCCGAGTGAGATTTGGACTTCTCGCATTTTTTCCTTTTCATTGTTTTTCAGGCGGCATCTAAGTAGGGCACTCAGAAACCGTGTCTGGCAATATCGGGTTAAATATGACAAAGCTGCCGGCAAGCTGAGCTTCATACCATTTTTCTGATGTATTTTTTCGGTATAAACGATGCACCTAAAATGACACACAAAGTGACAGAAAACGATGCGTTAGGACCGGCTGAAGTCCAAAGACGAACTTGTTCAAGCAATGGAATTCCGAAGTCTCTGGTGTGACAAGTCTGCACGACAGACTGCGCGGTTTTGAGGTACCCGTTCTCCCCGGTTTAGAAACTGATTGCGCTTGGTCTTCAAAGGTTGGCACGTGGTTGTTTCCAGCTTATCTTGATTCCTGCTTGCAAACTGTTTTTAAACTCATGTATTCAGCCGTAGGGAACGGTACGGCATAACTAAGTTTACGTTATTCAGCCTGTAAAAATTGTTGAAGAGGAAATGCTGGATACATATGGCGGAATAAGCGATCGAACGACGATATTCAAGTGCCTGTGTTCTGATTTATTAGTTTGGTTGCCTGTGGCAACCTGGTTGATGTATCGGTAGGAAGCCGGGTTGAAGATTTATCACAAAGCCTCAGGCGAGTTGGCTTTCCATGTAATTCCCAGGTGGAGAAGACGTCAGTTCTGTAAACTTGTTGCCTTCGGACAAATTTACTTCTGTTCTGGTGAGTTGGCTCTAGCTTCTATCACAGAGAACCTACCAACACTGCGTGAGGGATTTGAACTCAATTCAGCTAACTTGTATCGAGATGGCGTGTCGTCATACCTTCACTGAGACAAGAGAAGCTGTCATTGGTTTTTTGATGTGCGGAATTCTATTCAGTTGAGAATGACGATACATCGCTTAACTTTGCACAAGTATTTGTGTCAGTTTCCATCCCGCTCATCTGAAATGCTCCTCGAAGCTTTCTGTCCCATCAATTCTGTCCACTGGTTAATCACCAACGTCGCCTGGTCTAGTTCGATCACCAAAAACTGGGAATGAGACATATGGGCCCGAAAACCCAGGAAGGTAATTCTATGAACGGTAACAGTAAGGGAGGAATCGGGATTATTTTACCTAAAATATGTAAAAAAATTTGTGACGAGAGACGTTGTTTCTTTAGAAAAAAAGTCAACCAATGTCCTTTGAACTGAGGTCATTAATTAACCCGTTGAAAAAGGGATATTTAGCCTGCGGTCGC